CTCTCTTCTCTCTTCTCTCTCTCTCTCTCTCTCTCTCTCTCTCTCTCTCTCTCTCTGTCTGTCTCTCAACACACACTTTAGGTCTCTCTCACACACACCAACATACTCTTTCAGAATCAGGTGATAGTTATTTACTACTAGATATCCTTCCAACAACTAAAGCCCCACTCTGTTACCCCAGTGCAGGTCCTACTAGGTGTCTGCCTAAGACTGAACTAGGCACCCTGAACATGGGAGTCATTGGGAAAGGCTGGGCAGTCTATGGGTCCACTGGTAGTAGAAGTAGTATTTATCCCTAGTTTATGAATGGGCTTTGGGAGATACTCTTTTGTACAATTATTTTGATCATTTTACCCTTTGCCCAATTTCTCCATAACATTCTTACCTCCCTACACATCTAGTGTTATGGTCTTTCTTTCCTTGTATTAAAAATAACACACAAACCAAAGGAAAATCAAATCCAGCTGCCATACCTATAAAATATCCCCAAAAGGAAAATGATCTCCAAAGTCTACCACATTTCTATTGAGCTGATTTATGTGTTTACCAATGATTCCCCCACATGGGTACTACCAAGAGGATTGATTCAGATACCCAGTGAGAATTCACTGGAAGAGACTTATTCTTCATTTGCTATCAGGAAATAATTATTTGTCCTTGTTTGGTCATGGTACCCTGTTTCTACTTCCCCTTTTCATTGCTTGAACCCCAATCTGGCTTGAACTTTGCATGCTTGTGTGTGTTGCTACAGTATATGTGAGTTCCTTTGTTAATCAGTCTTGTTTTATCTGGAATACACATCTTTTTCTTTCCTTTTCTCAAGAGATCCCTGAACCTTGAGGGAAGATTTTCATTCAGAACTAAGTATTATAAAGTCTCACACTCTTTCTATGTTGTTGTGAGTCTCTATGTTTGTTTCATATCCCACACGAGTTTCACTCGTGTGGGATATTTGAAACATTAATCTCTCAGTCCAGTAGTATGTAATCAAAAGTCATTTTATCACTATGTTCCTCTAGCAGGATAACTGTATCATGTTTTCTGATAGGTCCATGTCCTATCTATTCAGATTCTTGGCCACTTTATCAGAGTCAGTTATGACACCCATCTCTTGGAGAGGGTCTTAACACCAGTCAAAAAGTGGTTGGTTATTGACAACGAATTTATGCCACTATTGCTCAGTCTATTTTGCAAATGTGTCTGTTTTCCTAGGGTTTGTAGTGGGGTGATATTGATGATTGCCTTTATCCTTCAGTAGATTGCAGAGTACATTCCTGTATCATGTTTGCCATTCAGTAGTGGTTGAGCTTCTTGATATGCACCAGCTCAACTTTTCCATGTTGACTGACATGAGTGTTGTTTTCAGCAATAAGACATAAAAATAAGGTTGCATACAAACAACAGTCTTAGCAATATATGTGAGTTTGGGGGTTTTCGTGGGACCCATGTTCAGCTATTCAATAAGACAGAAACTGAGCATGTCACTGAACCAAAATTTTTCTTGAGATTTTTCATTCAATGAATATTAATTGTGTTTTTCAATATTGATTTGTTTTGGTTTACATATGCTCTCTTTTCAGTTTTGGTAGGCTACACAGGCTTAGTAATTTGTCATTTGCTCCATCTTTCCATTTCATGACAGTATACATTTTAAAAATACCTCCAAAGAAGAATCACAGAAACTAGAGGGATCAGAGACAGCAGAAGGACATTGTCCTCACAGGAGCTGACTGGCACACCCAAGGGCTCACAGAGATCAGGGAGCCTGTAGGAGATCTTACCCAGTCACTCCACATATATGTTATTGCTAAGCAGCCTGATGTTATTGTAGGATTCCCAACTCTGGGAGGGGGGTGGTCACTGATTCTTTACTCTGCTTATGCTACTCTTTTCCTTCTACTACATTGCCTAATCTTTTAGTACCATATTAAGCCATGTTTAGTTGATGTTCCTGGGAAGCCTGACATTTTCTGAGGGGATATGGAGATAAAGTAAAGCTGGGAGAGAGAAGAGGAAGTCTGAGGGAGGGAAAAGAGGAGAAAATATGGTCATGGTATAATATATGAGAAAAGAACAAAACATACTAGGAAACTTGAGCAATTTGAATGAGAAATTTTTTGACATCATTGACCTCCTAGATAGCCTTTTTATTATATTGCTCTATAGAGAACAGTGAAACTTTGGGATATTATCTTTATTCATACTTACCATGTTATCAGGATAATCATACCGATAATATCTTCCCTCAAAGAAACATTGTCAGAACTTAAAATAAAGAAGTATACAAAGAGGAACACAGTATGTACTCACTCACATATGGATTTTAGACCTAGATCAAAAGATCACCAGCCTATAATTCACACCACCAGAGGAACTAGGATACAAGGTGTATTCTAAGAGATTCATATAAAGTCCCTCACAGAACTGGGAAGGGAAAGTCCCCCAGAGCTCAGGGGAAGTTGGGGGGCAGCGAATGGAGAGAGAAGTAGGAGAAAACAAGGGGGAGGAAAGGAAAACATGTGCGACCAGGAAGATTGAGCCTGGTTAGGAATAGAGGACAGGAGAGAGACAGAGAGAGAGAGAGAGAGAGAGAGAGAGAGAGAGAGAGAGAGAGAGAGAAAGAGAGAGAGAGAGAGAGAGAGAGAGAGAGAGAACATAAAAGAGGGAGCCAATATTGGTTTGAAGATAAAATTGAACACAAAGAAAGGCCTAGAGAACTACAAGACTGCTCCCAACTAACAATTTGAGCTTCTGTGGAAAGGCTATCATAAATCCCCTTCCCGGAGAGTGAGATCAACAACTAACTTCTCCATGGAGCCCTCAACTAACGCCTTTGGAAACAGGATCAAACACCCATACATAAACACTGAGTGGAACTAGAGCCCAGATGCAGATGGAGAGGACAAGACCAGTCTGCAGAAACACATACAGACAGCTTACCTGAACAAGGAGGAGCTAACGGGCCCCCAGACTGATAGCTGGGAAGCCTGCATGGGACTGACTCAGGCCCCCCTGAATATGGGTCTCAGCCAGAAGGACTGAGCAGTCTAAGGAACCTCAGACAGTGGAGCCAGGATGTATCCTTGGTGCACAAAAGGACTTTGTGAACACATCCCCCATGGAGGGATAACTGCCTTAATCTAGAGACAGGAGAGAAGCCCTAGTCCCTACTTCACATGACCTGTCAGATCTACATGACCCCAACTGGATGGCATTCCCCTACATATGGAATTGGGGTGGGGGATGGGAGGGGAGGGTGGTTAGAGTTCATGTGAGAGGGCAGAGAGGGTAAAAGGGAGGGAAGGAGGGAGGGAGGGAGGGAGAGGGAACTGGAATGACATGTAAAATAATAAATTAAATTAAAAAAAATGCTTTGACTCCAAAATTTAAGTTCAAGGACAAGTTACTGGGGAAAAGGATTTCTATTTTTGTTTCCACAGAAAATGAAAAGATGTGGATTCCTTCCAGACTAATGTCGTTTGATCAAGCCAGACCACCTGAAACAGAGTAGGAGGTAATCCTACATTCAAAACAGCTGGACAAAGCAGCCTTACAGACTACAGCCAGGATTTCTGAATCTTCTTCAAATCCCCCATGACAGCGCCCCTTACCAGCAGGAAGTAGTTTGTAAAGAATGACACCCAAATTCCCAAATATTGTCTATAAATGTTTGTTTTCATTTAAATGTACTTTGTTATATAAAATAAATTTTAAAAAATAAAAAGAAGTATAATAAAAAATAAAAATTGAATAAACATGTATGAAATTATCAAAACCATTGAATGAATAAAAAAATTTCAAGCTGGTCTTTGATGGCACAATCCTTTAATTCCAGCCCTCTGGAGCAGAGGCAGAGTGAGCTCTGTGAAGAGGCTCCAAAGCAAAACAAAGAAAGCCTGTCTTGCAAAAAAAAAAAAAAAAAAAAAAATAGATACCATGTATTTCTGAGAAATGTTTCACGAATTGAGTTTTCATGAAAGCAAATGACCATTAACTAATACAGAATTACTTTCTACATTATTTATAGACTACTTTTCATATGGTGTTGACAAATGTGTTATCATCATATTCACCAAATTAGGTCAGAGTAAAATTCACAATTTGAGAACAAGAAAAACATGTAAATTTCATGGCTGTTAAATTACCTTAGAATTTGGTAATGGAAATTAAAACACACACACATTTCTTTCCCTCCGAATAGGAGACCATCTATTATATGGTGTAACAAGATGTTTCCCACTGGAATTGTCATTTTCAGGAATGTTGATTCTCTGTTTCTCTTTGTACTCTATTCTATAAGAAAATATTTCAAGTGTTTATGATTATATGATTTCCATTGATTAGGTTATTGAGAACTTAGCAGCGAACAAAGAATAAAAATTTATTCCCAAGGCTGGTTATGGAATGATTTGGTTTTCATAGATTTATTAACACATTTTTACTTTCAGAAATGTTTACAGAATAGATATATCATCTCCATATCAAAATGCAACACACAGTTAGTTGCCAAAATAAATACTTCCAAATGACTCTTTACATTTCAATCATTTTTTACTGTAACAGCACCATAGTTTAGCTATAGATATTAACTGTGTTTTCTCCTAATTAATCACTTTTGGTAAGGTTGTGTCTGTTTTGTTTGCCCTTTCCAATAATAAGCATTTATGCCTTTGCAATGTTTATTATTGTCTATTTCCTTAGATTCAGTTCTGATCTTCAGTATGATTTCCAAATTTGTTTATTGGAGTTCAGTTTATTCTTATTCTTTTGTGACACAGAAGTTCACTGTAATTTTCTCACATCTGTCATACTTCTCTATGTAGAAACTGGAAGCTATAAACATTCCTCAGGACCTACTTCTCTTTGTTTTTAATCTGGTTTATCATTTCATGTTGTCATGGACACTATCAAGACTCTCATGAACAAAACCAGTGAGGAGGTGATGACAGAGCTGGACCTGAAGACCAGATCCTCTGAAGAGGAGACCCTGACAGACCACTATGTCATCCTCAAGACCCTTGGTAAAGAGGCCTTTTGCTGAGGTGATGTTAGCTTACCACCTTCACACAGAGGTGCAAGTTGCTATCAAGGTCCTGAAAAAGGGAACAAAGAATGACTTCAGTGTTAAAACCAAAATCAACATCTTGAAAACATTGAACTACCCACATGTTATCAAGTTGTTCCATCTTGTCAACACCAAAGGATACACCTATATGGTGATGGAACATACTGCCAGTGGAGATCTGGTGAACCATGTTGAGGGGGTGGGCCCTCTGCAGGAGGAACAGACCCAGCACATTTTTACACAGGTAGTGTGTGCAGTTGACTACTGCCATACGAGTGGCATTGCACACAGAGACATCAAGCTGGACAATATCCTGCTGGATGGCAAAGATAATGCCAAACTTTGTGATTTTGGCCTAGCTATCTGGGTCACGCCTGGCCAGGACACCAAGGGATTCTTGGTTACCCTAGAAAATTGTGCTTCTGAGCTATTCTCCAATGCAGAATATGATGCAAGGGCAGTGGACATCTGGAGCATGGGAGTGCTTTTATATGGGAAGGTGACAGCATCCATTCCATTCAAAGCCAACACATATTCAGAAATGAAGGAGGAGATGCTGGATCCCAAGTACCACCTCCCTAACACACATTCAGAAAACATAGCATACATCATAGTGAAGTTGTTCACTGTGAAGCCTGAGAGGAGACCAAAGATATGTGACATTAGGCAGCATCAGTGGGTCAAGGGGAAGGAAGAATTTTGGAAAATCATACCATCTTTAGAGGCACTCTGTAGTAACCCATATGCCAGCATTATAGTGGCTATGTGGGGTATGGGCTATAACCCCAAGAACATTAGTTCTTGTCTAACTAAGGAAAAAAAAGTCAGTAACATCATGGCCATGTACCTAATTTTAAACCACAAATCACCCCGCGGCCACTCAAAATATGCTGGGAAGTTCTTGCAGGCCTGTGTTGCTATGTTCGCAGCAGGTTCTCTTGCTACCTTTCCTTCTCAGAGAGGACTGAGTGGAGCTTGCTCTTCCCACATTGCTGGAGGAACACCGGGTGCATGATGGGAAGGGATCAAGGAAGAAGAGGACGAGACGTTAAGCATGCCTGCTACCTTGTGCTGCCAGCAGAAGGGAAACAAAAATCCACCTACAGTTTTCTCAGATTACTCATATTAAGAGCAGAAATTTGGCAGTGGATGGCATGATTTTCAATTGTTCATCCTCAAGATCCCTGTCTTCTGAGAGTATTTCTTCTGCAAATTATTTGTCCTGTGAAGCATCCCAGGATGTGATCCCCCACAACAATAGCTCCTATACTCAGAGTACACACTCTGTAAGGAGTTACAGGGAGGTATCTCATGGTGTGAACACCAAAGGCACCTATGACATCCAGAGATCTCTTCGGGTAACATCCAAAAACAGCTTTGAGGATGTCCCTCCTGAAGGCATTCCTAAAATCCAGAAATCGTCCCTTCAGGCAACATCAAAGAACACCTTTGCTTATGTCCCTCCTGAAGACATAACTGAAATCCAGAGACCTTCTCTTCAGGCAACATCAAAGAACAGCCTTGAAGATGTCACCCCGATATCCAGAGATTTTCCCTTCAGGCAACATCGAAGAACAGCTTTGACGATATCCCTCCTGAGAACTTAACTGAAATCCAGAAATTTTCCTTTCAGGCAACACTGAAGAACAGCTTTGATGATAATCCCTCCCGAAGGCATACCTAAAATCCACAGATCTTCCCTTCAGTCAACATCGAAGAAAGCTTTGACAATGTCCATCCTGAAGACTTAACTGATACCCAGATATCTTCCCTTCAGGCAAGGTCCAAGAACGGCTTTGACTATGTCCCTCTTGAAGATGTAACTGAAATCCAGAGACTTTCCCTTCAGGCAACGTCCAAGAACAGCATTGATGATGTCCCTCTTGAAGATTTAACTGAAATCCAGATTCCTTCCCTTCAGGGTTAAAGAACAGCTTTGACGATATCCGTCCTAAAGACTTAACTGAAATCCAGAGACCTGCCCTTTAGGCAACGTCCAAGAACAGCTTTCACAATGTTCCTCTTGAAGGTATAACTGCCAGCCCTCTGCCGCGAGGATGGAAGACGGTTAAGAAGAGAATCGGAAGTTGTCTGAGACTCTATGCTGCTGCGTGCCAGCCTCAAAGAGAAGCCATGTTTCTCAGAAGGGAGTTGAACCAGTGGAAGTGGAGAGTAGTGCAGTCACACACACACACACACACACACACACACACACACACACACACACGAGTGTGGTTACATGGAGTCTCATAGGTCAACTCCAGATCTCTTACTGGCCATCTTTTCTCTCCTAATATTTGCAGGGTCTTTTGGACAGGACCTTTTGTGGAAGCTCATTTTCACCAAGTATGTATCCTGTCCAATGTAGACAAGAGGCCCTGAGATGGGGTATAGGAAGCAGAGTGTCTATGTTTAGACACGTTGCTGGGAAAATACTTTTTCTCTTTTGCTCCAAGAGCCTAATTCCTGCAAACTACCTGGGTAAATTTGAGAAGTTATTCCCTTAAATCAGATGTCCCTGAAGAGACCCTAATGATGTTAGCCTACAGAAAGTCATATTAGAAGACAATGGGCATTATACCTGTCTCTTTAGTCCCTGAATTACACTTAAAGTAAACCTGCTAAGACCACAGGTCTTTGTTTTGGGAAAGAAGAACTCTCAGCCAGCTTTTACATTGGTCAATAATATTCCTCTTCTTGTAGGTGCTTGTCCACATCCTGAAGCACATACACAGGGGATTCCTAATCAGAGAATCTGCACACTCAACACTGGGGTCAGTCATAAAAAACTACCAGGCAATTTCCTGAACTCTTGAGGATCTCAGGGCTCCACATACTTTGGAGGGCAATGGAATAACTTCTTATCATGCTTGCAGCCACAGACCACCCCTGTCCAATTGTCATCAAGATCTGAGAATGATGGGAAATCACCTTTGATGAAAGTTTCCCAGTGGATTTGTTACTGTGGAATCTCCACCACATTATGACTTTGTGTCTATTTTGACAGTGCAAAAAGGTCACTTATGCCTTTCTTTCTTCACAGATGACCCAGGAAACCTGCCTGTACAGATTCAAAAGGTGCCTCAAATGTACATTATAAATCCAGTGTGCTAAAAAACCAATACAGAAGGATAATTCTACAGAATTTCCACTAATTGACATTCAAGACAATTATGATGTCTGAGGAATTCAAAGGAACATGAACTCTCAGACACCCCTGCTTCTAAGCAGCAGTCACTGTTGTTAATACGACAGGTTTCTTTTTTTTTTTTTTTTTTTCAGATAGAGTCCGAAAAATGTCATCTGATGCCCAAACACCACATACTAGTAGGAGTCAAGACCTTACAGACTTGTCCCCTCTCAGCGGCTATGCTCAAGTATCCTTGCTAGCAATTGTCACTTATTGATATGCTGTCACCCCACAACTCCCCAAATACATTGGGTCATATTGGAAGGTGTAATATTTGAGATAGTGTTCAGTTTTTAACAGGTACCTTATTGTTTGCTTTTACACATTTGTCCTATAGTCCTTTAGGACAGACCATTTTCTCTGCCTCAATTCCCTGGGTGCTGCTGACAAAAAAAAAAAAAAAAAAAAAAAAAAAAAAAAATCAGCTTACATGATTTAGGTGTATCTGTTGCTGAAATTTGATTCTGTATGTCCAGTCTCTGTTCCTCCCTTGACCAACTTTATAGATGATATCTGAGGGTTTGCATGATGTTCTGGAACCAGATGTGCCTAGTCTGCCATCTCATCTAGGATTTGGCCCAGCTGGTTCTTACATTTGTTGTTTGAGCATCAGATGACACTTTTAGGATTCTGTCTAAAAATAGACTTTCATATTAATAACAGTGACTGATGCTCTGGGACAGGGGTGCATGAGCGTTTATGTTCTTTGAATTACTCAGACATCATAAGTGTATTGAATGTTAATTAGTGTAAACTCTTTTAGAATTCTCTTCAATTATTTAGTATTGGTATTTTGTACATGCTATCCATCCAACACCAGTGAGAAACAGTGAAGTGAGGACCTCAAGTGCACCATTTCAATGTGATTGGTGGCCTGGGGAACAGTCCATGGACACTCAGCTTCTCATGCAATCAGTCTAGACACTATGTAAAGATGCACACTGGCTTCACAATATACTGTTCTGGAATGCATCAGTGGGGCAATTATGTTCACCCCAATAGTCATCTCAATGTTCCACTGAGTCAAAAACTATGAAAGCAATGTAATACAAATTGTATTAAGGCAAACATTCATTTCTCAAGTCCCTAAATTAAAAATCATATTTGAAAAAGCTACCAGTAAAATATTATCACCCTTTTAAATTTGTAATAGAAGGGCTTCAAAGAAAACAGATAGGATACAGGAATTCAAGCTTCTTTGGTACCAACTGTAATATCTCTTTATATATAATGAGTAGTGTGAATAAATGCTCACTTAGTAAATGAAGTTAAAATTCATCAAGTCTTCTTCACACTCAGAACATTGTTATTAATGAGGTCAGACAGAGAAAATACAAAGGTACAACAATATGAGATTATTTAATTAAACTCCTGCAGACAATATAGGTGCTAAGGAAATGATAGAATAGCCTAAGAAAGGAAGTTATTTTAAGAAAAATCTTAAGATAACACAAATATATTTTAAATATTTGAACAAACATTAAATAGCTAACTACATAATCCTATGTGTTAAATATTTCTAGACATCTATATGTTGGTTTATAGCAAATCTAATTACCAGAAAAAGGGTATTTTGCCAATATTTCTGGTCTACCTAAATATTGAGTTTTCTTTTTTTATGCTCATAGTCTGAGAATCATAACAGTTTCTGAAATTCATACATGTATATTTGAAACAACACTTTTAGACCAGGGTCACTTATCATGAACTCACATGACTACAATGGCATTATTAATGAAATATTTCTTCAAATACACTGGGTAGAAGCCAGTAGGCTCTTGGCTCTTTCTAAACAAGTTGAATTATATGTAAGACTGATTAAAAAAAAATATCTCACTTTGCATCAAAATGTCAAGATAACTTTTCATGATGTTTCACTAGCTTCCTTGAATTTTCTGATATAAACAGGCAGCTATATAAAGGGTGTTCCCTTTCCCAATTCTACTCCTGCGACAGAGTATTACAGTCCTGGTAGCCAGCAGGGATTATCTTCCTGTTAAATGTATACCTGACAGAAAAGTTTCTAGTTCGGATCTCAGTCCAAATCCTGCTAGAGACTTCCACTCACTGTTACTCTGCTTGATTTTCAGCATCTTACTAAGGGTAAGTGAAGGTTTGAACATGTTTTTTATTAGAAGAGATGCAAAGAAAATCTGCCATAGCCAACATTGAGATAATACTGACATGAATCATTTGTATGTCACACAGAATGATCAAGTTTTAAAATACTTATTTAAAAGTGCCCAAGTTATATTCACAAAAGTAAGACATCAATCTTCATCAATCTTTAATTCCTAATGCTGTTAATTGCATGTTGTACACTATAGTTAGCCATTCTCAAAATACTCTTATTTTTTCAGATCTTTTTAAATTTATTTTCATAATTCTGATTTTAATTCGATGCATTCTATTTTCATGAATTCAATCTTCATGACCCCCAAATCTTTGTAGTAACTGTACTATGTTGGTGAGAGATGGACCTGCCCCCTCATTTAAAACTCCATTGGGAAATTGTATCAAAGGAACTATACTCAGTCAATATCACACTGGGGTTTTTTGTTTTGTTTTGTTTTGTTTTTACATCTAAACAGATGCCTTCTACAGAAAAACTTATTAGGAAATAAGAGGAAAACATTAGCAAAAGATAGGTAATTATATATTGACCATGTTACTAATTTAATTTTCTTAATGTGTTTAAGCTTTCTGGAGTTTTGCTTTCTATAAGAGGTTGAGTTGTATGCCATGGGATTACTATAATAGGTGTTGTTCACTCATAGAAGCTGACAATAGATATCATTGAGGTGGACTGTCCTTCTGTATGTTGC